AGAGAGAGAGAGAGAGAGAGAGAGAGAGAGAGAGAGAGAGAGAGAGGGGTTCGGGAGAGGGCGCTGATGGTGGTGGTCCATTCTCTGAGTGGTTGTTGCCGCGCCTTCATGCTCACAGTCCCATGCTTCAGTAGTCTCGGTGGTATGAGGGTAGGACAGAGGGATAGTGGGGGAGAGGGCGCTGGTGGTGTGTATTCCGCGCCCTGACTGGTTGATGCTGCGCCTCCCAGCTCACAATCCCACTCTCTGTGGTCCTGGGGGGGGTATGTGCATGGTGCTGAGGGTGTGTTGCACACCTCCTGTCCGTTGTCTTAGGAGGTGTGTTGCACACCTCCTGTCCGTTGTCTCAGGAGGTGTGTTGCACACCTCCTATCCGATGTCTCACCAGGTGTGTTGCACACCTCCTGTGCGTTGTCTCAGCAGGTGTGTTGCACACCTCCTGTCCGTTGTCTCAGCAGGTGTGTTGCACACCTACTGTCCGTTGTCTCAGGAGGTGTGTTGCACACCTCCTTTTCGTTGTCTCAGGAGGTGTTGCACACCTACTGTCCGTGGTCTCAGGAGGTGTGTTGCACACCTCCTGTCCGTTGTCTCAGCAGGTGTGTTGCACACCTCCTTTTCGTTGTCTCAGGAGGTGTGTTGCACACATCCTGTCCGTTGTCTCAGCAGGTGTGTTGCACACCTCCTGTCCGTTGTATCAGGAGGTGTGTTGCACACCTCCTTTTCGTTGTCTCAGGAGGTGTGTTGCACACCTACTGTCCGTTGTCTCAGGAGGTGTGTTGCACACCTCCTGTCCGTTGTCTCAGCAGGTGTGTTGCACACCTCCTGTCCGTTGTCTCAGGAGGTGTGTTGCACACCTACTGTCCGTTGCGCTCTTGGTGAGACAGTGAATGCTCGTGTGACAGTGCCATGCTATACGTGGTACAGAATGTTGCCGTCAGAAGTAACGTAATGAGCATTCAGAGAAGTATTCATAGTAACTTTCACGCGTGCCGTTGGACGTTCGTACTTGCGCCATTCCCCACATGGTGCCCGTTTTAGGGTCCACGTATTTGTGCCCGGGGCCATAAGGTGGTGCCGGTCCTTCCGGGCGAAGCACGAAACCTTCCGCATTGTCCGGATTTCTCCAGAGCTCATCAATGGCCTGCACAGGGAACACACCGCGTCACGGATCAGGAAGTTTGATAGACAGGAAAGAGAGGCACGGAATCAAGCAACTTTGCTGTCAACTTACGGCGCTAATGTTGGTGTGCTGCACGGTGAAGGGTGTCGGCCATCCTGGCACCGTGACCGTAGATGTGCTGTATGTGCGTGAACCCATCAGTAATCTCAGGCCGTAACACTCTATTGCACGCTTCGAACGCCAATGTCGGATGGCTGCTAGGTTGAGACCCCGCGCCGCAAGGATCCTCATCAGCAGCGCGGTGTCCGCCGCTAGCATGCCGCGCCCGTTGTTCGCGCCCATAACCAGCCGCCATATCGCAAAATCCGTGTCAAAAGGGACTCTGGCACGGCCACGCCCCCTCAAAGGATCACGTTCCGCGGCAGATTCGGCGCTATCGTTGCTTGATCTAGCGCTTGCGGCTGTCCCTCCTATGGTCGCGGGTTCTGCGCCAAGGCCATCTTGTTCCTGGCGTGCTGGTACGTTATTCGAAGCAGAAGGCGTGGTGGCGGGTTGAGCAGTTGGCTGATCGTCACAGTTTCTTGGAAGAGGCAGAGATGTCTGGGTTGCGGCTCTGCTGGCATCGCCCGACCGGTCAGTCGTCTCGCCAGCGTCAACGCGTCTTTGGCGCTCAGCTATACACTGCTGGTTCGAGCGCTCGTGACTCTCTCGTGCGGAGTATGCGGCAAATGTGCGCAGACTGAATCCACACTGCCATCGTTGCGAATGTGTCGTTTCGTCCTCCATGATACTGCGAGAACCATTCGAGGGCTTGCTGGCTTAGACGAGATAAAGGCTGCACGTTTAAGCCGTAACACTTAAACACGCACGCCCCTGAAACCAGCTGTTCCATTGCCATCACCGCCGCCTTCAGCGCAACAATCGGAGCCTCGTCGATGACCTACAATCCTGACCTGAGTGCTGCTGGCACGACGACCGAAGTACGGGCCTGAATCCCGCCAAAAAGGCCCAATCAATGCGGATAAAGCGTGATCGTGTTGGCGCGAGTACGAAAAACATGAGGGTTCGTAGGCGCTCCGTTTCACGGCGACCATCACCCGCTTTTCACGGTCATGCCGAACGGATCTACGGGCGTGGCAGTCTCAGTCGAGGCTCGCCCGGCAATTATTTTGGATATGGGTGTTGGGTGGGTGCATTCCGGTTGTTTTGAGCACGTCGAGGCTTTGGTAGCATCCTTTGTATAGTTTGGGTTGACAAGCGTCTTGTTCTGTAACGAGCCGTCTTACACTGCGAAGGCACGAAATACTCGAACACTTTCTTACTTCAAGTATTTGGACGGTCAGCAGCACGCAACTCATTTCGCAATGGGTCGTGATCCCGTGAGCTCGCATTGGCGACATCACAATTGACGGTCGCGCGCCTATGTAGCTCCTGCGCTTGTGTGATGGGTCGCACCGACGACAACGCCATGCGAACCGACAGTTCGGTCATGTTGGGAGACACCTGTCACTACATGTCACCTGACCGCTCGCCAAAGGCACAATACCTGCGCTATGAGACTACAACTGGGCCTACTTGCAAATTTGTTGGTGTGAGGGTGGTAAAAAAGGCTCTGGCGGGCAAAAATTCATAGACGTGCGCAAAATATACAGCGTTGGTTGTGACTCGATAAAAGTCCAAATGTCAATGTTGATGGGTGTGAAACATGCGCTCCGGCATTGATGTGTAAATACAGCGACTCGAGACTTCATCCTTACCTCTTCTCAGAGCTGTCCCGTAAATAGAGTGCCAAACAGAACATGCATTCTACTAGCTTACTAGTTCATAATCTCTCTTCATTCGCTACTTCATCACTCCACCTCATGGCCACGCAGCATACCTACGCCGGTAAATGCACCGTCGATACGCTCATGAGGCGCCAGCCTGTGGTCTGCTTTGCTGGGATGCAGCACTCTTACACCTAAATGCAGTACCGCAGGGAAAACTTCACGCCTGGTGCTCTCGTGAATGGTGTTGCTCACCTCGCTTACCGTACCCGTAGCACTGCTTGGACAGTTCGCGATAGGTCTAGGCGCGAGTACTGCGCCAAAAGGGGCCTGCTCCTGCATGCCGACATCCCCTGGTTCGACAATATGCTGATTAAGGCAACCTTTAACGACCATAACGACGGGGAGGACTTTCAGCGGGAGTGTGCCCGATCCTTGGACGCCATCAAAGACCACACTGAGATCAACACGTTGGCTACGGGGTGGGAGGACCTTATGCGCCCACCCCGATGGATGGACTACCGCGAGCCCTTGATGAGCTGGGCTCATGCCATGGGCTGGGTGGTGAGTGAAACCTCCTCCGAATTATTGTTCAATGTGTTTTCCACATGTATGATGTTTCCCTAACGACGAAAAATGTACGGTTACGCGCAGGTGCAGGGCGGGCCGTACGACAACATGTACGCGGAAGACGTGCGAATTCTCTTTGGTGAGAATGGGCGGCCTCTTCCCGAAGCGCAGTTGCCGTGGGTTCGGGGGTGGGTCGGTCACCGGGTTACTGGCATATCCGTGGGCAACCTCGCCCACGCGCTCGGCATGAGAGCATGGTGGGAGAGAGAGGCTCCGGTCCAGGGACCGGAGTACCGCCACGTCGACGCGAACGGACACGTGTGGCGTCAGGTGAACCACGCGGAGCTCGCTCATCTGGAAGCCACAATCCCCCGTACCCCTCGCCTGATCAAGCAGGACTACACCCCGCGTGGATACCACGCGGCGCATTTTCCGGACGAGGTCCCCGTCGCACCGGACGCTGGAAACAGCGACGACGACATGGACGGCGATAATGAGCCGTCCACGAGCGACGAGGGCGGTGCAGACGAAGCGTAGACGAGAGATGTTGCGTTTGTGAAAGTCTGAGCCGGGAAAGGTTCTAGAAAAGAAAATGTAAGATGTGATGCTGCTTTATTGGACTGGAATAGCATTACTGGTCATAACGGTTACGAAAATGATGGTGTGCTGTTCCTGCTAGTGAAATCATCGATAACGTGGACAAGGAGCCCAGCGGAACACTCTTCATACCTTATTCCAAGCACCCGCTAGGTACCCCGGAGCCATCTCGGCCCTTGAAAGGCTATCTGCGTTCACGAACACATCTCCAGCCGTCATTTAGTCGATAGTTTGGATCCTTTCCGATGGGTCCCGCTTCGACTCGTTTTACGTCAGTTAGTGGCAACTATGACGAAACGCGCACGATTAGCGCACTCTGCCATGCATGAATCTCGAGCATCGACGGTGCACGCGGCGTTCGTTACCAGTACTCCGCGTCGCGCGCTGTCAAGGTGCTCACACCATGGCGCGGCGTGTGTTGAGGCAGCTACGTGATCCCGTCATGGCTCGATGCGCAGGTGCGGGATGCACCTCGCTAACCACCTGGTGTGAGCGCAAGGTAACCTCAGGTTATGACGCTCGATGTGGGAACGTTCCCACCGCCGTCGCTGCCATGTGGCACTTGGCAGGTGGATAAACTTGTCCACGCTAGCACACGGATAGGTCACACACCAATTCGATTGCGTGCAAAGTCTGCTCGTAGACTATTGGCCAGCACAGATTTTCACATCTGACGTGTTGAATACCCATCACGGAATCCACGAGGCTTCAGACCCAGCTAGATAAAGGCATTCATCCGGACTCAAACGCAAGTATAGCTCGACACCTATCGTTCGCGCACCGTAATCATTCTCCATACCGCCATGGCTATGCAAGGGCATGGCCAAGGGGGCTATGTCAACGAGGGGTTTGGCCATCCTGACATGCTTGTAGGGCAAACCCCCAAGTCGACCCAGGGCGTACACTCGCAGTGGTCGAATGACGATTACGATTTTTCCGGCGGAATCATGTACCTCCCCGTCCTAGGGCAAGCGTTCAACCAGGGCCGCCACCTAACCGCGGCCTTGCCTATGTCAGGCACCGTGCGCACGCTGCATACGCGCACCCGGCGCCAAGTGCGCTCGCGACTGTCGTCCCCGCAGCCCGGTCCACCGGATCTCGCCGAAGAAGATCTGGATGGTACGTATACGATGACCGTGCGATTCCCGCAAAAGTATAAGTGCGGCTTGTTCCCTAATGCAGCACTATCCGCATTTGAGTTCGCTGCAGGTCTCTCGCCACACACGCGCTCGATGACGGAGCTAGTGGCGAGTACCCCTGCCACCCAAATGCTTGCCAACTACGCGGGAGGGAGGGGTCTGCCAGCAGCGCAACCTGCAGGCGCTTCTGACCAGCGCGATGCCGACGGTGCGGTCGAGCATGGATGGGCAGGGGAGCCCATGCCTCAAGATCTGGGAGCCGCCCAGGAGCTCATCCGCCGCCAGGATCGCGAAAGGGCGCGCCTGGAGAACCAGCTGCGAGACTACGAGGCCAGGCGACGGTGGGCAACGCAAGCTGCCCAAGCTGGGGAGGCTGCACCGCGTGATCGTGGCGCGCATGCGTCGCATGGCGCAGTAACCCCGGCTGCCACCCCTACTGCACAGGATACCCGTCCCATGTCCCTGGCCGCGGTGCGGGCGATATCGGCGAAGTGTCGTGTGCGGGGGGGTCCCTCAATTCTGGACAGCCTCACACCTGCACAGCTGACGTGGGCATCGCGTCTCATCCGCGCAATGTCGCAAATCCCCGACATGCATGATGGCTGGCAGGTGTGATGTTGTGGTTTTATTTTCCCCCCACCCAGCACAACCCTTCTTTGCCTTTCTGTTTTTTGCTTCCATGATGCTTTGATGAATGCAGAGGTACCCCCTCTTCAGCTCTGTACGAGACACCTGGTGTGTGGCGGCAGTGGTCGTGTGTGCCTAGTTTTCACCCCATAGGATGGACAGTCCGAGCACAGGCATGATGTGGTGGGGCAGGAGCTATTTCGTGTGCCTCCCCAACCACTCCTCAATGGCCCATTCACCCCGAATCTTGCTTCCCCCTATCGCCTCTGTGTTTTCCCCCCTGTCCCTCTCAACCTTGCCTCTTTCCCCTGTCTCCACCCCACAGCGTGGCATGGACCAAGCATAGGCAGGAGGGAGAGGGGCAGGAGCCATTTCGTGTGCCTTCCCAAGCCCCCCCCACTCGCCCATGCACCCCATACCTTGCTTCCCTCTCTCACCTCTCTGTTTTTCCCCCTGTCCCTCCCAACCTTGCCTCTTTCCCCTGTCTTCACCCCACAGCGTGGCATGGACCAAGCATAGGCAGGAGGGAGAGGGGCAGGATCTACTTCGTGTGCCCTCCCAAGCCCCCCCCACGCGCCCATGCACCCCATACCTTGCTTCCCCCTCTCAACGCTCTGTTTTCCCCCCTGTCTCTCTCTTCCGTGCCTCCATGCCTAGCTTTCTCCCTCTGTTTCACCCCTCTGGTCCTCTCTTTTTGACACAGACAGAGCATACCCAGGAACTGTGTGTGGCAGCTCCATCCTCCATCCTCCTGTGACATTCTCCCACCCTTCGATGACCTACCAGGCCCAGCTCTCTCCCACCCTCTCGCCTCTATCCGTCGTAGGGTGTTGCAGCGGATGTCATCACAATCGTCGTGTATGGGACCCCGTCGAGGAGGATGAGCATGTGGCCCGACGAGAATTCGGTGGAGCTTGCAATTCTCAAGTCAATCCACCTGTGTGTGGATGATGCTCGTGTCATGGTTTACATGACGCTCCGGAATGATCCGGTCCGCCGTCGTTTCTTGACGGACAAGCTGGCCAAATGTCGGGCTAACGTGCTTGACCAGGCTCGGACGTGGACGTTCCTCTTGTTCGGACTCCCGTTCGAAGTTCCGAAGCAGTCCCGTGCGCACAAGCCGCACGTTATTGCTGTGGTTACCATCACCTTCAAAGAGTTCAGGGAAACGTATGCTGCAGGTATGTACCCCATCCTAAACCCCTTGTGGCCATGTAATGCGTGCCACTTTCCCTCATAATCGTGGTGTGACTCCCCCCATACTACCACCAGGTGTACATGTTCATGTCCCCTCACCGTCTTGTTTGTGTTTGCTTGTTAGCTTCGATCCTGTCGGTTCTGGCCGTTGTGCCAGGACATGGCCTGCCTGGCACAGGACCAGAACGTGTGCCCATGCATGCCTTGCTTGGGGCAGGGTCTGACCCAATTCCCCATGCATGCCTTGCTTGGGGCAGGGTCTGACCCAATTCCCCATGCATGCCTTGCTTGGGGCAGGGTCTGACCCAATTCCCCATGCATGCCTTGCTTGGGGCAGGGTCTGACCCAATTCCTCATGCATGCCTTGCTTGGGGCAGGGTCGGACCCAATTCCCCATGCATGCCTTGCTTGGGGCAGGGTCTGACCCAATTCCCCATGCATGCCTTGCTTGGGGCAGGGTCTGACCCAATTCCCCATGCATGCCTTGCTTGGGGCAAGGTCTGACCCAATTCCCCATGCATGCCTTGCTTGGGGCAGGGTCTGACCCAATTCCCCATGCATGCCTTGCTTGGGGCAGGGTCTGACCCAATTCCCCATGCATGCCTTGCTTGGGGCAGGGTCTGACCCAATTCCCCATGCATGCATTGCTTGGGGCAGGGTCTGACCCAATTCCCCATGCATGCCTTGCTTGGGGCAGGGTCTGACCCAATTCCCCATGCATGCCTTGCTTGGGGCATGGCCTGACCCAATTCCCCATACATGCCTTGCTTGGGGCTGGGTCTGACCCAATTCCCCATGCATGCCTTGCTTGGGGCAGGGTCTGACCCAATTCCCCATGCATGCCTTGCTTGGGGCAGTTTCTGACCCAATTCCCCATGCATGCCTTGCTTGGGGCAGGGTCTGACCCAATTCCCCACCTGCCGCTATTTTGTTAGCTAATTGTTTGTCTGCTCTCACCTCTACCCTTTGTGTATGTTCTTGCAGACGAGAGCAGCCACGGGAATCTCACGTGGACTCGCGAGCCTCATGCCGGAGGCCTCCCGTTCTCTCACCCGGCTTTCGAGACGGGGCTGCACAGGTCCTTCTTCAAGGGCAAGCCCATGCCTGTGGTTGTCAAGCTATACCACATAGCTTACTACCTGGCAGGGGTGAGTTGTGGCATGGTGCAGCCATCTTTGTTGTACCATCACATGTTACTTACTGTTGGTGCTAATCTCGTTCCTCTGTTTTTTAATCTGCTATTTCGCATGTGTTCAACCAGGCCGAGCGCCGCATTATCCATGATGGCAAGGATCTGGAGAACAGCGCAGGCCCCAACATCACCCTAGTCGCCTCGTACCTGCGCAAGGTGACTGCGTGGTGCAGGGCGGCGATCATGGCGCCGTCCGTGAATGGTAGTGGGCCGTGGTACGTTCCCGGCGAGAAGGCTTGGGCCTTCTCCAGGAACGAGACGATCCTCATCTCGACAGATGGGATCGAAGACACTGAAGGCATCAACCGTGCACCACAGCTCGTGGCCGCACCTGTGGTTTGAGTGTTCGTTGCCATCGCGTTCAATCAAAGTGACATGCCGTGATGGGACGCGTTGGTACTGCATGGCAAAGGGACGGTCTTTCACTATTGGTGTGCAGACTTTCGGTGATGCCTGGGGTTTATCATTGCATGAAGACAGTCCAGGGGGGTAGGGGAGGAGGTGGGCCTCATAGGGCAATATGTAGTTGCTCACACGTGCCACTCTCATGCTAGTAATATGCCATGGTCACAAAGAGATTCTGGCTGATGCACAGGTGGTAGTTGTGTTACACACCAGGTGGCTCTATTGTTTGTTTTCTTTTGTTCTACATGTATCCTGTCCTTAGTGAACCCATTTTATGAAATTCTCGTGTGTTTGTAGCATAGATTCTCATGACTCTGGAGACTTATATGGTTGTACAGTCTTTGGTAGGCACTTGGCTTTGGTTTTGTCCTCGTATAGTTGTCGCAACACACAATGTTGCGAACAAACCTTGATGGGTCATCGCGTGATCTCGGCGGCCAATCAACAGTCTCGTGCGAAACTTTTCGCTGTGACGCTGGTTCTATGCTCGTGTGACAGGTCTATTTCAACCCAGTTTCGAGAGCTGAGTCGTCATTTCTCCGTATCACAGCAGCTGTTCTCAATGCAATGTTATCGTCCCCACTCCCCTACGGCAACGAGTGCTTCTCCGTCAGTAAAGACACAGCTTAGCATAGCTAGAAGGTGGGTGTTATGGCGTCGCATCGTGTGCTTCCGTGCCCCACGCATTCGGTTAGTGATCACATTAAATGTCTGGCTCTCTTACTAGAATTCCCCCTCATCAACGCAATCCGTCGTGCCCTGTTGATTATTTTGAGACGTGTGCAGAAAATGGCGCCACACGGGCATTGTGCGCCTCCCCGCGGCTGAGTGATTGCACCTGCGTGATGCCAGCATCAGGCGCACCTCGCTGTCGTTTCGTGATTTTGTTTGGGGTGGGTGTCGCGTAGGCTCTTTTTCGATAAATGCTGGGCTGTATCCCTGTTCAATGCTAATGGTGTTGCATGCCCCTTAATTTGTTTCAGGCATCTGGTAAACCTGGCGCATAGTTATTGTCAACGGTCGCCGCTTTCAGAGCTGGTGTCTGGATGAAGTCGAGTGTCATTGGCAGAGGGGGGCGACATATTCTCGACGCGTGCTCTTCGTTTTTTGGCAGGATTTCTCCTTCACGTGATGTATTTTGGCAACGCTGATGCTAAGTATCAGCTAACCCTTTTTGACAGGTGCTTTCGACGGTGCGTATGCTACTGTAACGTAACATCATGTTTGGGTGCGAGCTTTCAGGTGTGTTGTATAGCTGTACCGAGTCTCATGGTGTCTCATCACGCTCTTGCTGGACGTATCGCGATGTGCTGATGTAAAATCGAGCAGTCATTCCTCTCGCATCTTGAGTATCTGCTGTGTATCCCACAGGCTTTGTTAATCATCACACTTACGCCACGTTTTATTTTTGCATTCAATGTGCCTGATGTCATCAGGGTTCGAAGCTGCGACGGTGTTATAGGCGCTTTGTGACAGCGCCTAATCGTGGCTGCATGTACCGAGGACCTTTTGCGCACGTAGTCGCCTTGTTGTAGGCGCTGCTTGTAAAAATACTGTAACGGGACTAAGTTGCCTCATGCTGCCCTATTCGAAGCCAGACAGCGGTCTGTTGTGCTTTGTCGGTGACGTAGTTTACAAACCAGACAGTAGCGACCGAGACACAAAAGCCTACGAGCATACGGGAACTAGAAGTATATTAACGGTGATGAATGTCAAGCGGTAGGACGAAACATGAAACCAGTAGCTCGTGTGTCGGGCCGCCACATCGCACGTTGCGTTATAAGACACTCAAAGAATGAGTGTATGTGTGCGTTTATACGCGCGAAACGTATAATAATGTCACAAGCTCGTTACAAGAACTGTTACAATAACGAAATCTGTTTGTGAGTTTTAGAAATGTCACCCTATCTAAATTAATCCTGGGACCAATAATACTTATCGGGATATCGAGTCAGATTATTAGGAGTATTTCACTCGTGTGCTTTTATCGATGTCTGGTCTTGTGTCACAAAAGCGTAACTTTACCCAGTATAGAAACCCCACACTTAGCTCGACACTGTACCTGTTACCGAAGCGGCTTGTGAGTAGACATTTACTATGATTTAGGTTGCTGAGTTTTATCGAAATGAAAGCGCAAGTGCGCAGAGTGTAGCGTTGCATGCGCCGGAAAGCTTCTCGAGTCGTTTACAGCGGGTAGCGGGGCGACGTCTGATTCGCTCCCGCATGATGGGAGTGGTTCCCCGTGGGTCACCACCTGTAGGTAACCTCGGGGTCACCACGCGAAGTGAAAGCTGCGGAGGTGACCCGCGGGTCACCTAGACGAGGACCCCGGGGTATTTCGCCACGGGGTAAGTTGGGGGTAACCTGTGGGGGGGGGGTTTGGCCCAAATTTTTTTGGGATGGGCTCTACAAGTAAGAAATTGGACTGTCGTATTTACCCCTTCCGTTTCAACCAAACCCTTGACTTCTCTGCTGGTGTCAAGCGCCTTCGTTCGAACTGCCCACGCACGTCTCTCGCGTAATAGACACATCCGTAGAGGGCCTGGGTGGAGATAGACCAGTTTTCAAAATTCAAAAGTTTGAAGCTAGCACGGTGCAGGACGATCGCTACCAGAACCGCAGAGAACCACTCTGCTGTAAATTCTCGTTTTGCCCCACAGCGCGCTGGCCGTGTACTTGGCGACAGACAGCTAGCCAACGGTGGGAGTAGGCGTGGCTGCCTATAAAAGGCTGGAGTGAACATACTCAAAGTATGTTTCACAACATGTTAGAGGTAGTGTTCTATCCACCATGGAGACAGCAGAACCTCGAAGGTTTGATAGACCTGGTAGAAGGACCAACAACCAGTTCTCATCCGTTTTGGCGTCAGTTCGTGCTCTTTGAAGGTGGGGACCGTGAAGAAGCGGTGGTCTCAACGGTGGCGACAACTACCAGCAATGGTAAAAAATGTTCTGTACCTTTCAATACCTATGTGTGATCTGTATTACACGGGAGTTATGTCTTGTTGATTGTCAAATGACTGCGGTGCCTCATACTAACAAATGTGTGTGTGCTGATAGTGTGCAGGTGAAAGAATGCTTCCCCTCAACCAGCTGTACTTGGGCGAAGTTCACATCCCTGGGTCTAATGTGCGATTGGAAACCACCGGGGGCCGCCGCTCGCCGGACGACGGGTCACCGCACAAATCAAGCCGTTGGACGGCAGCAGCAGCAGCAGCCCATCTCTGCTCGTGCCGCCTCAACCAGTGGACAGCAGCAGCAGCAGCTGCCCATTTTTTCTCGCGCCGCCTCAACCAGTGGACAACAGCAGCAGCTGCTGCCCATCTCTGCTCGCGCCGCCTCAACCAGTGGACAGAAGCAGCAGCTGCTGCGCAACTCTGATCGCGCCGCCTCAACCAGTGGACAGCAGCAGCAGCAGCTGCCCAACTCTACTCGTGCCGCCTCAACCAGCAGCAGCAGCAGCAGCAGCAGCCCAACTCTGCTCGCGCCGCCTCAACCAGTGGACAGCAGCTGCCCATCTCTGCTCGCGCCGCCTCAACCAGTGGAGAGCAGCAGCAGCAGCTGCCCATCTCTGCTCGCGCCACCTCAACTAGTGGACAGCAGCAGCAGCAGCTGCCCAACTATGCTTGCGCCGCCTCAACCACTGGACAGCAGCAGCAGCAGCTGCCCAACTCTGCTCGCGCCGCCTCAACCATTGGACAGCAGCAGCAGCAGCTGTAGGCCACCACAGGCTTACCTTCCACGACTAATGGAGAGGAGCAGCAGCTGCAGCAGCAACACTGGGGTTGCCTTTGTCACTGTATGGGCAGCAGCAGCAGTCCTTCTCGGATCTTCATAGCGCACTGTATGGGCAGCAGCAGCAGCAGCAGCAGCAGCAGCAGCAGCAGCAGCAGCAGCAGCAGCAGCAGCAGCAGCAGCAGCAGCAGCAGCAGCAGCAGCAGCAGTAGCAGCAGCAGCTGCAGGAGCATCAGGCGCCAATGCAACGCGAGGGTCCGCACACCCCTGCTACTGGGTTTGTGGATGATGGCGCGACGATGGACTATATGCAGCCATTAGACCCTGAAGCTCTCCCAGAGATGGAACCCCAGGTACCTGAGCCTGGTTACGAGAGGTTAGATGAGTACAGTGAGGAAGATGATGAAGGGGGACAAGGAGTGGACCTCATCTCCAGGGAAGAGTTCGATGCTGCTCAAGCTGACGCTCGTGAGTTGCGCCCCCGGCTCATGGAAGCTGAAAACGAGAACCGTCGCCTATCGCACGGTGTTGCTAACCATATGAGCGAGGACGATCCCGATGATGCGAGCAACCGTGGCAACTCCTCAGGTGCTGTTGATGCCCACGGTATGCCAGCGGCTGGAAATGGTGCTACAGCGGCTGGGAATGGTGCTACAGCGGCTGGGAATGGTGCTACAGCGGCTGGGAATGGTGCTACAGCGGCTGGGGATGGTGCTACAGCGGCTGGGAATGGTGCGCCAGCGGGACGCTCGAGCGCTCCTACTCCGAATGGTATGGCTAGAAATACGCTCCAGGCATCGTTCCCGAGAACTCTACTCGTGGAACCGAATCGAGTGGCTATCATCAATGCGGTCAGGACGGCCCACAGCCGGGGGACTATATTGGATTTGCAGCAACTGTCGAGCATGCAGCGCACGTGGGCGCATCGGTACGCTGTTTCACGTGGCCAGCGTGCTAGACATCCACGACGGGTTCAAGGTAATGTCCCAACCATGTCCCACCCCCCACCCAGTGCATTACATCTTAAAGCCGTACCGTCTGTATGGTTGTTGGCGCATGCAACGGAGTTCTTGTGCTGTTTCACCCATCGGGACCCACCATTGGCTCCAAACCCATGTCACACCGCCCTTTTGCAGGCTATTATATGCGCCATGTCTACACTGTAGGGGGCAGTGTGTCAAAGGTCCACTGGTGATCCCCGATTGATCCTAGGGAAGGGTTACAGGCATGGCGGCCTGGGGGGTTATGGGCGCACTCACCCGCTACACAAACAAGCCTTTTCATCTCAGTGGTTAGTGACTGGGATTCTGACATGGTATCAGAGCGAAGGTCTCGGGTTCGAATCCCGGTGTGTGCACCTCGGGCATCCCAGTGCGGGGGGGTGTCAGAGGTCCACTGGAGATCCCCAATTGATCCTAGGGAAGGGTTACAGGCATGGCGGCCTGGGGGGTTATGGGCGCACTCACCCGCTACACAAACAAGCCCTTTTATCCCAGTGGTTAGTGACTGGGATTCTGACACAGTGCATTGTTATCCCCCAAGTAATTCCTCTTCCCACCTATCACCTCCCACGTTCCCATGTCAGGGGGCTGCGACTCGAGCTGTGGAGATCCTTTACTTCGAAACTTCGGATGTGGACTTGGAGTATTGGACGCCGCGGGACACCAACATCACTGCCCTTTGCACGGCTCTAAACATCACGGGTCCTGAGGGAGTGGCTAATTTGTGCCTGGTCATAGAGAACGAAACATCTCGGCCTAGGCGTTTTCGAAAGAAGCTTCAGGATGCGAGGAACAAGACCCTCACCACGGGTCGTGTCTTGCTGTACAAACGATTCGACATTCGCATCAAGTGTCCGGACCGCAACAGGATCGAGAACGGAACGCTTTCGCCTGCGGCGTTCTGTGCCTCCTACCCTGCTAGTAAGATGATGGCTGCCAGATGGCATTTAGGCTGTCATTGCATCTCGGATTTCCCGTCACTCTTACCCTTGCATCTTCCAATACCATTTCCCCAAGCCCACCAAACCCCCGCAGGCATGCAAGTGCACCACTGTGGGCGTGGGATGCAAGGCCGCGTGCGCTGATTTCAAACTCCCCTTCCACCACTTGATCCCCACCCAAGGCCCACTGCCTGTGCTCACCATCCCCTTGAAGTCGTTGCACAGCTGTGGGCGTGGGATGCAAGGCGGCGTGCCCCTAGTTGAAACCACCCTCCCGCCACTTGATCCCCACCCACGTCCCACTGCCTGTGCTCACCATCCCCCTGCAGGCAGGCCGTTGCACTGCTGTGGGCGTGGGATGCAAGGGGGCGTGCCCCTAGTTGAAACCACCCTCCCGCCGCTTGATCCCCACCCACGTCCCACTGCCTGTGCTCACCATCCCCCTGCAGGGAGGCCGTTGCACTGCTGTGGGCGTGGGATGCAAGGCGGCGTGCCCCTAGTTGAAACCACCCTCCCGCCGCTTGATCCCCACCCACGTCCCACTGCCTGTGCTCACCATCCCCCTGCAGGGAGACCGTTGCACTGCTGTGGGCGTGGGATGCAAGGCGGCGTGCCCCTAGTTGAAACCACCCTCCCGCCGCTTGATCCCCACCCACGTCCCACTGCCTGTGCTCACCATCCCCCTGCAGGGAGACCGTTGCACTGCTGTGGGCGTGGGATGCAAGGCGGCGTGCCCCTAGTTGAAACCACCCTCCCGCCGCTTGATCCCCACCCACGTCCCACTGCCTGTGCTCACCATCCCCCTGCAGGGAGACCGTTGCACTGCTGTGGGCGTGGGATGCAAGGCGGCGTGCCCCTAGTTGAAACCACCCTCCCGCCGCTTGATCCCCACCCACGTCCCACTACCTGTGCTCACCATCCCCCTGCAGGGAGACCGTTGCACTGCTGTGGGCGTGGGATGCAAGGCGGCGTGCCCCTAGTTGAAACCACCCTCCCGCCACTTGATCCCCACCCACGTCCCACTGCCTGTGCTCACCATCCCCCTGCAGGGAGACCGTTGCACTGCTGTGGGCGTGGGATGCAAGGCGGCGTGCCCCTAGTTGAAACCACCCTCCCGCCACTTGATCCCCACCCACGTCCCACTACCTGTGCTCACCATCCCCCTGCAGGGAGACCGTTGCACGGCTGTCGGCGTGGGATGCAAGGCGGCGTGCCCTTAGTTGCAACCACCGTCCCACCACTTGATCCCACCCATTGTACTCACTTTCTGGTCGTATCACCATACACAGGAGGCGGCTTGTTACGTTGTTGTGGGCGTGGGATGCAAGGCCACCCTGATTCAAAAACTCCCTTCCCACCACTTGATCCCCACCCACCTCCCACATGTCTGAGCTCACCATCCCCTCGCATGCAGCCCGTTTCACTGCTGTGGGCGTGGGATGCAATGAACATTCAATTGATTTCACAACCCTCTCCCATCCTGACCTCAACACCCACCCACGTCCCTCCAACCTTCTGCACCCTACAGGTGCTATTTTGTGGGACTTGTTGACGCGGCATCGTAATCGACTGGGGATCCTGTTCTCCTCCAATTTTTTCACCCTTGCGATTTTTCACTTGTTTGAGAGGCCGGGGCATGCCGTTCTAGTCCTCCGTTTCAAGCAGATCGCATTCTTCCTGCTAGGGGTATGTAAACGTTTGAAGAGTGCAAGTGATTGTTTGCCCCTGCTGTCTTTGTTCTAAAGATCCCCTTCTTCGTGCCGCAGGTCGAGTACAAGCTCCTGAAGAACTAAGAGATGCTGCGCAGCTCAGTTGACAACAAGCGTGCTCTTGCGATTTACCATACCAACATGCACAACGTCGTTGCTTTTGCTGTTCAGAACCGGACTCCCGCGATCGCTCCTGTTGCCCGTGTGTCTGCAGCTTCAGTCGGCGCCTTTCATCTTCTCTCCTCTCGCCAGCCCTCCTCCTCCTCGCTTGCCCTCTGTGACTGCCTCTAGCTTTGCTCATAACTGTGAACTTTAAACTATTGCTTCTTGAACTTGTGCTCAGAATGTGTGGTGACATTGTGATCCACCTTGAGCTTGTACTGCTTTGCTTGCTCTGCTGATTACACCCCACTTTGGCTATGGGGGTGTGTCAGAATGCTATTATTGTCTAGCCTGCAGTGGGGTACTCTATAGCGAGTACAGCCCAATCTAGGGTTTGCTATTTGTACTCAACTGCCTGCTAGTTCAACCCCTCTCCTTTCAATCATTCTTGGCTAGTTATTCTGACAAGGCTGAGCACAAAGCGTGGAAGTTTAACGAGGCAACGAAGAGGGTCTTTATTAGTTGTGAGGGGCTGCCGGGATTGCAGGGGCCCTAAGGTTTAGACGGTTGCAGTGTATTGAGTGCCTAACGCGTAGAGTGCTAGTGTGTGTTGTAGTTTGTTGGAGTTTGTGTGAGTGTGCGTGCTTTTGTGCATGCGTTTGTACTTTCTGCTAATTGTTGGTTTTAATATTAAATTGAATTTTTCTTTTAATATTATATATTATCTAATTACCAATTCTCGAAAATACAAAATCAATATGCCAATTGATGGTTATAATAGTTATGTGATACCGTATCCCCCCGGATAGTAGCGCATATGCGCTTATAATAAAATTAAAATTTTTAAGGGGGGCGCTTATAATTGAGTTTCGGGCATAAGCGCATGTGCTTATAAAATGACAAATACAAATTTATACTTTTAGGGTAGCAAACTGTACCTTTCATTGTTGCCATTTTAATTGAGTCGAAATAATAGAGCATCACAAAGCAGAATCGCACGGAAGCGATTCTGCTTCCTGCACACAGGCAAATTCGCGTCACTGTGCAGGCATGCCAGCACATCCTGACTGGACGCGCAGCCAGTTAGGTCTTGAGTCAAACGAAGCGAAAATGAGATTTGACTCGCTGCAAAAATGAAATTCGTTACCGTTTTGTACAGAATTTCATATAAAAAATGTACGTGCGCTTATAATAAGAAAAGGTTTCCTAGGGGGGGGGCGCTTATAATTGAGGACCGGCCATAAGCGCATGGCTCCAGATAGAAGCGCCGACGCTTTTAATAGGACGGCGCTTTTATCCGGGGTGATACGGTATATGCATATATTAAAACTCGTATCAAATGTAACGCAACAGGTAACTACGTAACGGTTACGAATCCTGGTAAATTATTCACTGCTACTATTTAGCCAAAGTGGTATTCGTCTAAACGTCCACGTCACCCTGTGCATTCCGAAATGTATGGAGAAACACAAAAAAAACCGACACCTGTCAAATATTGAACGGTTGAGATAATGTTACAAATTTCACATCGACAGACATGGGCTTTTCTCACCCAAACCCCAACACCAATAAAACTACGCCAGGGCCGTGTCAGAATGTTGTAATTGTCTAGCCTGCAGTGGGGTACTCTATAGCGAGTACAACCCAAATTAGGGTTTCCTATATGTACCTTGCATGCTGCTAGTACAAACCCTCTTCTCTGTTCTATCTTTCGTCCTACTATCTCGATATGGTAACAGAGCGTTCACGCTCCTGGCCTGTGGGCCCCACTGCTGCTTCCGCTGCCCTACTCTGTGTCGCGCGCCCCGTGGCGCGCGACCTTCACATTTTCATCCCGCCGTGCGCGCCGAGGCGCGCGGCGGTTTCCAGCCGTGGGGGAGCCCGCGCGCACCCCGCCCGTCCGTCGCGGCGCCCTGGGGAGCACTCGCGGCCCCCACCCTGCACGTCGCGACGCCCTAGGGAGCCCGCGCGCGCCCCGCCCGTCTGTCGCGACGCCCTGGGGAGCCCGCGAGCGCCCCGCCCGTCCGTCGCGACGCACTGGGGAGCCCGCGAGCGCCCCGCCCGTCCGTCGCGACGCACTGGGGAGCCCGCGACCGCCCCGCCCGTTCGTCGCGACGTCCTAGGGAGCCCGCGCGCGCCCCGCCAGTTCGTCGCGGCGCCCTCGGGAGCCCGCGCGCGCCCCGCCAGGCCGTTGCGGCGCCCTGGGGAGTCGCGCACGCGTCCCCCCCGCCCGTCCGTCGCGGCGCCCTGGGGAGCAGCGCGCGCCACCCCCCT